GGCGGCCCCGCCCGCGCAACCCCCGAAAACGCGAGCGCGCCGCGCCCGCCCGGCGCGGCCGGCCCCGCGCCCCCGGCGGCGGCCGCCCGGCCCGCGGAGCCCGGGGCCGCGGCGGGCCGGACCCACCTGCGGGCGCGGCGGGGCCGGGGCGCGACATGACGCAGCACGGGCGGGCGGGCGGCGTGAGCGCCGCCATCTTGCCGTGTTTATGGCAGCGCCGCGCGCCCACGTGACCCGGCCCGCTTCCGGGGGCGGCGCGGGGGCGCGCGCGGGTGGGGGGGCGGGGGCGGGGAGCGGCGCGCGCGCCCCCGAGCGGCGCGGGCACGGAACGGACACGGACACGGACACGGAATGGACACGGACACGGACACGGAATGGACACGGACACGGACAGGGACACGGACACGGACAGGGAATGGACACGGAATGGACAGGGACACGGACACGGACACGGACACGGACACGGAATGGACACGGACAGGGACAGGGACAGGGACAGGGACAGGGACACGGAATGGACACGGACAGGGACAGGGACACGGACATGGACACGGACAGGGAAAGGGACAGGGACACGGACAGGGACAGGGACACGGACACGGACAGGGACAGGGACACGGACAGGGACAGGGACACAGACACGGACAGAGACAGGGACACGGACATGGACAGGAACACGGACAGGGACACGGACACGGACAGAGACACGGGCACGGACACAGACACAGACACAGACATGGACACGGGCACGGGCACGGACACGGGCACGGGCATGGAACGGACACAGACAGAGACACGGAATGGACACGGACACGGAACAGACACGGGCACGGACAGGGACACGGACACGGACAGGGAAAGGGACACAGACAGGGACACGGACAGGGACAGGGACACGGACACGGACACGGACACGGAATGGACACGGACACAGGCACGGATACGGACACGGGGATGTGTGCCCACTGGGACAGCGCCAGCAGCGACACACGCACCGACACACACACGGACACACACAGTGACACACACACAGTGACACAGAGAGTGACAATGCACCGACACACACAGGAACACACACAGTGACACACACACACAGTGACACAGAGAGTGACAATGCACCAACACACACAGGAACACACACAGCGACACACACACACAGTGACACAGAGAGTGACAATGCACCAACACACACAGGGACACACACAGCGACACACATAAATGACACTCTCGGAGTGACACAGACATTGACACGCACAGTGGCACAGACAGTGACACGCACAGTGACACACATGGAGCCACACACACACGGAGTGACACAGTGACATGCACAGTGACACAGACAGTGACACACTGACACACACACTGACATACACAGAGTGACACAGACAGTGACACACACACAGTGACACACAGTGACAGACACAGCGACACACGCACAGTGACACACAGACAGAGAGGGAGTGACATATGCACCGAGGAAGGGACCCGCACACACGGAGTGACACACGCACGCACAAGGAGCGACACCCACGGAGCCACACACAGGCACACAGCGAGTGACACGGACACACACAGTGACACGGACACACACAGTGACACAGACACACACAGTGACACGGACACCCCTGCGGTGTCACCAGCGCTGAGCAGCCCCTGGGCACGGCAGGCTGTGTGTGTGTGTGTGTGTGTGTGAGTGTGTGTGTAAGTGTGTGTGTATGTGTATGTGTGAGAGTGCCATCCACAGGTTGTACTTCCCGGGGCTGTGCTATTCCAGCTGTTTAGGTTGTACCCCCCCAGGCTGTGCTTTTCCAGCTGTGCACACACAGGTTGTACCTCCCGGGCTGTGATATTCCAGCTGTTTAGGTTGTACCTCCCGGGGCTGTACTATTCCAGCTGTTTAGGTTGTACCTCCCGGGCTGTGCCATTCCAGCTGTTTAGGTTGTACCTCCCGGGCTGTGCCATTCCAGCTGTTTAGGTTGTACCTCCCGGGCTGTGCCATTCCAGCCGTGCACCCACAGCTCGCACGCCCACGGCCGCAGCCGGTGCCCGCCCCGGTGCCGGCGGTGCCCGCGGGTCCCCCCGGCTCCCAGCCGGCACCGGCCGTGCCGGGCGTGCGGGACGTGCCCGGGAGCCGCTTCCATGGGCGGCGCGGCCCGGGGAGCCGGGATGCCCCGGGCCGGGATGTGCCGGAGCCGCGGGGGCCCCGTCGGGCCGGGGGATGCGCGGGCGGCTCCGGGACTACAAATCCCAGGGTGCCGCGGCCCGAGGGGGCGGGCGGGCGGGCGGGGGAGCGGCCGCGGGGTCCCCCCGCCCCGCTGATGTGTCCGGGCGGTGCGGGGGGAGCGCGGCCGGCGCGGCTGACGCGCGTCCCGCCCCGCAGCGCTCCGGCGCCGGCAGCCGGCCATGGCCTCCAAGCTGCTGCGGGCCGTGGTGCTCGGCCCCCCCGGCTCGGGCAAGGGCACGGTGTGCGAGAGGATCGCCCGCAGCTTCGGGCTCCAGCACCTCTCCAGCGGGCAGTTCCTGCGGGAGAGCCTCGGCGGCGGCGGCGGTGAGTGCCCGCGGGGCCGCCCCGTCGGCACCGGCACCGGGAGCGGCACCGGGAGCGGCACCGGGAGCGGCACCGGGAGCGGCACCGGGAGCGGGGGGTCCCTGCCCGCGCCCCTCCGGCGGGGCAGCGCCGGGACGGGGTGGGGATGAGCGCAGCGTGGGGATGCGGATGGAGCTGGGGAGGGATGGGGATCCGGCTCCGCGGCGGGCGCACCACAGGTTGTTTTCTTGCCGTGGATTTGGCACAGCTCGTTCATCGCCCGCTCGCTCCCGCCGGAGCTCAGGGAAAAACGGGATCTGAAGCCGCGGGGTGCCGTGGATGTACCACGGTTTTATCGCTGTCCGGGGGCTCGGGGCTGTCCCCGGTAACTCCATCCTGCCCCAGGGGCTGGCCGGGGATGGATGGCAGATGGCTGGAATGCTGCGGCATTCCCACGGCGGCGGGGATGGATTGGCAACGAGCATTTCTCCAGAGAGGAAAAAAAACCTGCCGGGAATATCCCCGCGGGTCACCGGCTGCTCTGGCCGGGTCCCAGGAGCGGGGAGCGGCAGGAGATGGGTGTCAGCACCCACCTCGCACAGTCACCCCCGGAAAGCCGGTTTTTAGGGCTGGCAGCCCCCAGGCAGGGCACTGCTGCCTCCCCCGTGCCCGACATCCAAACCCAAAGCCCCGGGAGCTGGGATGCGCCGTGCCTGCGTCCCCCGGCCGGCGAGGGGCTCGGGGTCCAGGCGAGGCTCGGCAGCCCCAGCTCGGCAGAATTGGGCAATCCCGGCGCGTTTCTTTTCCCAACACTTCCTTCTCTCCTCCGCTAATGTGTGAAAGACCGACCCGCGGGGGAAGCTGACTCACCGGGCAGGGGAACGGTGAAACGGCGTCGATGCAAAAAACAAGCCGAGAGGAATTAGAAGGGATTTCTATTTTAGAAGGATGGCAAGAACGGGGAGGAAAATTAGAGAAGGCAAAATTTTGGAGAGGTGCGTGGTCCGACAAGGGCGTTGCATACAGCTCTGCGCTGGTCACTCATGTGAAAACACCCAGATTTCCTTTTGTAAATAAAAAGGACAATAATGTTTTCTTTAGAGGGAGGCTGAAAATTTGGAAAGTCTTGATGAGAGCTTTGGCCGAAGGACAGAAAGCTGGGCTGAAAATCAAGCAGAGGTGCAGCGTGTGGAGAGGGGCAGCACAGTGCCCAGCCAGGAGCTGCCACAGCCAAGCTCTGAACCACTGACTGTCCCAAAATTCACTTTTCAGTCCGTGCTCTTGCCACAGAGCTCCTCTGGGGACACGGAGAAGCAGGAAGAGCTAGCTGAAGGTGTTTGGGTACATTCAGAAGGAAACAACAAGGAGAAAGGCAGGGAAAATTACTCAGAAGGAAACCAGCGTGGTTTGGTTCATCTGGCGTGACATTTGGGTCCCACCTTTGACTCAGCCTCTGTAACAGCTCTCAGTGAGCTCCAGTTATTTGGGTTTTTTTGGTTTTTGTTTTTTGGTGGTTTTTTTGCTATTTGCTTTGGACAAGCTGTTACATGACTGTGCTCTGGGGGAAACGAGGTGGAAGCAGCTCCTCTTCCCAAGTTTATGGGCTGCGTCACCGGCTCTGCAGAACCAACAGACTCATTACAGACCCATCATCCCCAAGGCAACTCTGCTTCCCGTGCTTTTACAGGGATCCTGGCCTGATGTGCCAGTGCTCCAGGGATATTCCTGCTGGCCACTGCCAGGCACGAAGTGGCCACAGCTGAGGGGTCGGGCTCAGGGGCATGGGGGGCTCCTGCTGCTGGAGGAAGGCTGAGTTCCCAGCATGGACAGCATTGCAGGCCACTGCTGGAGCTGCTAGCGGTGGTCTCAGGGAACAAAGACTCACTTTTGGGGCAGGGGAAGCAGCTGAGTGCACGGCTGCTGCTGCTGAAGGGCTTTGAGTTGTGCTCCAGCAACCCCCAGGCACATCCGCCCCCAGCCGCGTGTCTCCTAATTAGTGCCTGTTAACAAGTGGCTGCTCTGCTGTAGGGAAAGGCCTTTCCAACACCTTGGAAAACCTACAGGCTGTGTTCTGGTGCCAGGCAGAGCTGCTGGAGGGTGGTGAGCCATGTTTTTTGGCCAGCTCTTGCCCCGGAGCCCAGGTGGTTGTCTCTGCTGTTGGCAGCACCCCCAGGTCTTAGCAGGACTCTGCAGTTTGTTTGCCAGACAACTGGATTGCTCGTCCTGGCTCTGGCTGAGAGTCTGTGGGTCTTGTGTCTGCCCCACTGCTCCCTGTCAGGTGCTCTCTTGGAGCCAGAAGTGGCTCCTGTCCCCTCCTTGTGACAGGTTTCCTTCGTGAGCATCCACCAAAGCATGCACAAAACAAAATTCCCTGGGGGATGTGGGCTGTGCACCTTTCCCACGCCTTTCCCCTGCACTGTGGCCTTTGCTGGCCACACTGGCTTGGTTGGTGGCCAAAGCTGAGCCCAGGGATGCAGCCAGTCCTTGCTCTATCCCTGTGGGAGCAGTGCTCTGACTACAGGGATCTCTCCCAGTCCTGGCTGCTGCCCTCCAGACAGAATCCACAGGATCACAGAATTCACAGGATAAAAAGATTCATGGGATTACAGAATTCACAGGATCACAGGATAACAGGATTCATAGGATTACAGAATTCACAGAATCACAGGATCACAGAATTCACAGGATCACAGAATTCACAGAATTCACAGGATCACAGAATCACAGAATTCACAGAATCACAGAATCACAGAATTCACAGAATCACAGAATCACAGAATCACAAAATTCACAGAATCACAAAATTCACAGGATCACAGAATTCACAGAATTCACAGGATCACAAAATTCAGAGAATCATAGAATTCACAGGATCACAAAATTCACAGAATCACAGAATTCACAGGATCCCTGGGTTGGAAGAGACCTCCAAGCCCATCGAGTCCAACCCAGCCCCAACACCTCAGCCAGCCCCTGGCACCCAGTGCCACATCCAGGCTTTTTAAACACACCCAGGGATGGGGACTCCCCCACCTCCCCGGGCAGCCACTGCAGAACTTTATCACCTTTCTGTAAAGAACTTTTTCCTGCTCTCCAGCCTGTATTTCCCTTGGCACAGCTCGAGGCTGTGTGCTCTGTTCTGTCAGTGCTGCCTGCAGACAGAGCCCAGCCCCAGCTGGGCACGGGCACCTTTCCGACCCCGCTGTCCACGCAGCAATTCTGAATTTGGGGTCACATCAGGCTCCTGCTCCCTAAAATGCCCTCCTGGTGCTGAGGCCAGGGTGGGTGTCAGGAAAAAGGTCCCAAAAGTGGGCTGACATCTGCTGTGGTTTCACTGTGGTGGTGCATTGGTGCCCTATTCACCCCCAGGGCTCCTCCTCTCTGCCAGCTCCAGATTGTGTTGCTGTAGCCTCAATAACAGGAAAAAAAAAACTCCTGGGAAAGGTTTTGGATGAAAATCCAGGGTTGTGCTGCAGGCTCTGGAGGCTGCCCAGGGCTGTGTTTGGGAACAGCTTCTCCTCCAGCCTGTCCTGCCTGGCCCTGGTGGCCTTGGGGCTAGGACACGTCCCTTGGAATGGAACATGTCCCCCAGGGATGGGACACATCCCTTACAAATACCTTACAAACATCACATCCCTTAAATACCCTTACAAACATAAGAAACAACACTCTATACCTACAAAACAAATCTAGGATTTGTTATCTACAATTTAAAAATTAAAAATTTAATCTACAATTAAAAAACCTTAAAAAAACCCCAGCAACGATGCATCCTTTCATTATTAAAAAAACCCCATTACAATTAAAAACACCCCAACCTTATTATCCCAATTGAAAGTAAAGATAAAAACAAATTTTTAATAGAAACCACAAATACACTCACCGCTCTAAAACTAACCTCAAAACCAAACAATCCCATCTAAATAAATAACCCCTAAAAAACCCTAAATACCTTAAAAAATACGAAAAATATAAAAAAAACACATCAAACCAACAAACAATCCCTAAAATTCTCCACTATTTATAATTCGTCAAAAAAACCCCTCAAATTCTTAGAAATTACTTGAAAATCTCAAAATAAAATAATTAAAAAATATAACCACTACAACTTAACTGCCTTCCCTTTCAATAATCCCAAAAAGAGAACCTCTCATTGTCATCAATGGTCCCTTGGGGACAGCTCGAGGTTGTGTGGGGGAGCCACAAGGAGCTGGGAGCCCCCTGAGTTCCAGGGCAGATTAAACCCAGGTCATCAGATAAATGGGATTAAAGCAGGAGTTGCAGGGCTGGGTTGGAGCTGAGCACACCAAAAAGCCCTTTGCTACCTGGAGTAAGTGCAGAGTAAAGCCTGCACCCCTCTGTGAGCCAGCCACAGCGACACTTGGGTGTTCCAGGCTGAGCCCAGCTCCTCGAGGGGGGACCAGGATCTCCCTCCCTGCTCGGGAAGGAGCCCCCAGACCCTGCTCCCCTTTGGGATGGAGCTTTTCCCTGGGGCTGGGAAGGGGATAATCAATGGGAAATGTGGAGTTTAAA